GCCCAGGTGACTCCTACACTCATGAATTACAGTTTAGGAAGCCCTCCTCTAGACCAGAGGCCTCCGCTCAGGCTGCACACAGGAACTGCCTGGAGAGGTTTCAAAGTGTGAACGACTGGGTTTCACCCCTAATTTCTGAGGTGTTCTGGGCATGGGGAGAGTTGACAACTCCCCAGGTGATTGAATGTGAAGCTGGTCAGTGGTGAGAGCCACTGTCCAGGCGGGGAAAGCTCAAAGAAGGGGCCCTAGAATATCCTCAAATCCCTGCAGGGCTGTTATGGGAAAAGGGAGCCTACTTCTGTGTGGCCCTTGAGGGCAGAGCAAGGACCAGCAGGAGGAAAATCCCAGGGGCAGACTGGCATTAGGAAAAGGGCAGAGAGCTGCCCAACGACAGAACAAATTGTAATGTTCCTCCCTGGGATGGCCAAGCAGGGATCAATGATCGCTTACACAGAATGTGGTGGCAGTTGGGGTTGGGGGGGTTCCTTGTCCGAAAGGGATGTTCAAGTTGACCTTGAGGCCCCTGCCCTTCCCTGCTGATTGGAGAGGACACGGGGAGCTGGAGGCCAAGGCCCGCGCTGGTGAGTATAGCAACGGGGACCTACCCGCCCCCACATCCTTTTTCCTATGTAGAGACAGCGGTTTCTCCAGTCAGGGTGTAGACACCTATGTGGAGATGAGGCCTGTCTCCACTTCTTCTTCAAGCGACTCCTTCTCTGAAGAAGGTGAGGAGGCGCCGGGTGGCAGGTGCGGAGGGCGGGGGGCAGGGGCCGCTGGGGGCTGGGGTGCGGTGGGGCTGCCCTGACACCTCTCCCCACCCCAGACCTGGGCAAGGAGGACGGGAGGCCACTGGCGCTACGGGACCTGCTCCGCTTCTCGAGCCAGGTGGCCCAGGGGATGGCCTTCCTCGCCTCTAAGAACGTGAGTTGGAAACTGGGTCCAAATGTGGTCATCCAGGGAGGTGGGAGGTGGCTGAACCCCCGCATCTCCCGTGAGGCTGGGTGATCAAGGATGAAGGGGAGGAAAGGGGAGCACGCGGTGAAGGCGAGGAGGAGCCAGGGTGCCAGAGAGCAAGTGGGCAGCGGCCACACAGCCTCTAGGGGTGAGTGGGAGAAACCCACGCCTGAAGACTTCCTCGAACTCAGGACGGTGAGGGCCCCAGCCTGAGCAGACCTGTTTCCCTGGGGTGCAGCAGGCCACGGAGGACCCCGTTTCCAAGAACAGGCCTTATTCCTTCAGTCTCGGTCAACGGCGTGAACAAGACGACTGTGTCCTCTTGTGAAGCACACGGTCTCGTGGGGCCCATAAAGGAAGCTCCCTGAGTTGTCGTGAGGGTAGGAGATGATGTGTACAATATGCCCAACTCAGGAGGTTCCCAGCGGGGGGGGGGGGCTGTGACCGCCCCCCTCACAGCAGATTTGGGAGGGCAAAACAGGGTTACAGTGTGTGCAGATGCTTAGGGAAGAGCCTGGCACGGTCGGGCCCTTGAAGTGGCAGCTGCTATTATCAGCAGCCGGTGGGGTCAGAGGCTGTTTCCAGCACCAGGGCTCATAGCTGCTGAGCGCAAGCGGGTCGCCTGGCTCTGAGTCAGCTCCCACTGCTCAGGCCCAGTGGGCCACAGTGATGGTGGTTTCTAAACACCCAACTTTCCAGCCATATGAAACTTCCTCAGACCTGGATCTCGGTAGCAGGTAGGGACGGGAGCCAGGGTACAGGACCAAAACTGACGCTCACTCCCTCGACGAGGAGCCCAAGGCATTCTGGGGGGACCCTGGCTGTTCCCCCTGCACCTCAGGCTCAAGTGGGGGACGGGCCGAGACTAACTCTGTAAGTACTTTCTGTCAGTGCATCCACCGGGACGTGGCAGCCCGAAACGTCCTGCTGACCAGTGGGCGTGTGGCCAAGATTGGGGACTTCGGCCTGGCTAGGGACATCATGAATGACTCCAACTACATCGTCAAGGGCAATGTGAGTGCTGGGGAGGGTGGGCCGGGCTGGGGAGGGGGCAGTGAGCCAGGGTCCGAGGTGACCGGGGTCTTCCGTGCCAGGCCCGCCTGCCTGTGAAGTGGATGGCTCCAGAGAGCATCTTCGACTGTGTCTACACGGTTCAGAGCGACGTCTGGTCCTATGGCATCTTGCTCTGGGAAATCTTCTCACTCGGTAAGCCACTGGGCCAGTGCAGGCTCAGCCTGGGGCTGACCCGTGTTTGGTTACCATGGTGTCCTATACCTCACGAAGGATGCCAGCCAAGGGTGTTTGCTGCCCAGGGCAGAGGAAAGGCTGGTGGGAGTGAAGTGACGGGCAAAGCGTCTGAAAACCAAGCAGTGCAGCTCCCGTGTGGGCCGGGCAGATGCTCCATGCTGCCAGGCATTCCCTCTGGGCTGTTCCTTCATCTGCCTGACGGTGCAGTTGCTGCTTCCTCAGATGAAGTTTTCCCTCCTTGTCTGAAGTGTGCACATCTCACTTCTGGAGTGCTAGGCACAGAGACTTGGGCTAAGCCCTTCAGCGAGCTCCTGTAACCTCTTATTCCAAGCCTGTGCTGGAATTCTTTGTGTGGTGTGATGAGGCCGGGGTGAATTTCACTGAAATTCCCAAATTTCACTGAAGCCTATGCCTACTGTAACTCTTATGTAGGTGTGGGTGTGGGGGGCAGGTGAACGTGAGCCCCGAGCATGGGCTCCTACGTGCTCTTGGCCTTTGCAGGGCTGAACCCCTACCCTGGCATCCTGGTGAACAGCAAGTTCTACAAACTGGTGAAGGATGGATACCAAATGGCCCAGCCTGCATTCGCCCCGAAGAACATGTAAGTGAGGGACCCCAGGGAGGAGAGAGGACTCCCCAGGCTTTGGCTGAAGGGGATGGAAAGGTGTGTGGTCCTAGTCTCTCCCTGTCCACAGTGTTCCAGGGCCAGGCTTCATCTCCCCCACAGTGGGCCAAAACAAGCCCATTTTAGGGAGTGCGGGATTTCCACTGGCTTCCAAGTAGCTGTTCTCAGAGGTCTCTTAAATGGGACTGGTGCCAACTCAAATGACAGACTTTGAAGTCAGACTCTATTATTATGTCGAGGCAGACTCTTCTCATTTCTTATCTTGGCTCTCTGTGGTGTCAGCCACTCCTTCACTGTGTAACCAGCCAGCCTGCAATGCAGCCTCCTAACCACCTCGATACAGCTGGCCCACCAAGAATTGCCGCCTCCCTACCCTCGCCACGGCCTTCCCGTGGGCCAGCAGGCCATGAACTCGCCTAGCACACCTTTCCCCAGCCACTCTCGACACAGCCGCTCCCGCGTCTGGCCAGGCACTTGTGGCCGGCTCACTGCCATGTTCGTCTTTTGTTACAGTCATCTCAGCCCGCCTCTCAGATCTACCTGCAGGCAGCGGGAGTGCCCCTTCTCAGTTCTAGGAGCCTGGGCAAGATAGCATCTCTGAGCTTTTTCTCCCCTCAGCTGTCAAATGGGCGTGATGAAAATAGCTTCCAAGGGTTACTGGGGAGATTAAATGAGATGATGCATATCAAGGACTTAGCACAGGCCTTGTGTCAGGCACACTTTTCACTAGGTTTCAGGACCTCTGCTGGGCAAGACTGTAAGGGTGTGTGTGCATGTGCCCACGTGTGCATGTGTGCATATTGGATCCCCAGACCCACAGGCAGCTTCTGTCCTACCTTAGATATAGCATCATGCAGGCCTGCTGGGCCCTGGAGCCCACCCGCAGACCCACGTTCCAGCAGATCTGCTCCCTCCTCCAGAAGCAGGCCCAAGAGGACAGGAGAGTGCCGGTGAGTGGGGCCGGCCTCAGGGTGGGTGGCTGGCTCCAGCAGGGCCGGGCTGGGCCTGAGAGGTCAGGACTGACCACCCCCGACTCTCCCACCCTCAGAACTACACCAACTTGCCAAGCAGCAGCAGCAGCAGCAGCAGCAGCAGCTGCCGCACTGGCAGTGGCGGTGGCAGCAGTAGTGAGCCCGAGGAGGAGAGCTCTAGCGAGCACCTGGCCTGCTGTGAGCAGGGGGATATCGCCCAGCCCCTGCTGCAGCCCAACAACTACCAGTTCTGCTGAGGGGACAACAGGGAAGCGCCGCTTTCCCCTTCCTCCAAGCTTCAACTCCTCCGTGGATGGGGCACCGCGGGGAGAACCTACAGACTCTGCCCTTGGTCATTTCACTCAACAGCGCAGCCCAGCTCTGAAACTCAGGAACGTGAGATCCAAGGGGGTCTCGGGAGGACCCCGCTTCCAGGGCCTGGGCCATCACTGCCAATCAGGGGCTAGGGCTGAGCCCCCCACCCCGCCCACTATTCTCAATGCTATGGCCTCATGTTTGCTATGCCGACTGGGAGAACCCCCAGCTCACTCTCTTAACCTTGTTCTCACTTCCAGGAACCCCTTTCCCTAACTCCCTTGTCTCACTGGAAATGGACTGATTTTATGGCCATGAAGTGCCCTAACATTGAGAAGACAAGGCTCCTTAGGCTTTGGCAGAGGACCCCCCCTGTAGCCAAGTGAAACGGCAAGAGCAGACAGGTGCTCAGAGACTGTGCCTGGCCCAGTGCCTGAGAGCAGGGGGGGGGCTCTTTTGTAAGAATGAACTGTACCTCCTAGTCCCTGCCCTTTGGCCTTCTCTCTACAGCCCCACCCTCCCTGGATCTGGTCCCTAGAACGAGCCAGGTGGCAGCTAAAAGTTCGGGGTTCTGCCCCCCCCCCACCCTGTCGTTCTGAGCTGGAAGGCAGGGGACCCGTGTGGCTGGCCACACCAAGCAAGCAGCACACACTCCGACAAGCTGACTCCTCTTAACTAACAGTCACGCTGCGGGACGTCTCTGTCATTAAACTAACAGCATTAACACAGCTGGCCTCTGGTTCTTTGTGCCACACGAGGGCCTGCGGATTCCCTGGGACCTCCTTCCATCCTTCTTCATGTCCAGTGACCAGCTCAGCACCTTGACCGTTCAACCACACTGTGCCCCACACAAGGAGCGTGGAATTGATTCTTGCTTCACCAAAACAGATAATTTAATAAATTTTATTCTTGGCAGGGGAAGGAGGGGAAAAAAGCCACCTACTCCACTCCTCTCAATAAATTAAATAACACACGGCCAATTCCCGTGCCCTAAGCAAACCTTAGGCACTTGAGCCAGTCCCGCTGTTTCCTTATGGCCCAGTCTGCTTCCCCTTCACAGAAGGGAGTTTTTCCTACTGCCGCCAGGTTATGTCATGCCAGTGGGCCACATCCCTTCTGTGGTGAGGATCCAGGGCCCAGAAAGGATGTGGGGTGCAGCAGCAGTGGCCAGGGAAAGGAGGAAGGGGGTCCTCTTCCTTAAAGCTCAGGGCAGAGAAGACAGTCCTGGAAGAGAGCGGTGGCTGTTTCTCCTTCCTCAGCTTCCCCCAAATCTGGGTGCAGGAAGAGTAGGAAGGAAATGCATCCCCCCTCTGGGAAAATCAAGAGCCCAAAGGGACCCCTAGAGCTAATGAGGCCCCAAAGGCCCCCAAGTCAAAGGCAACAGGCTAAAAGGAAGTTGTGTGGCCACAGGGGCTGGAAAGAGCGTTCCCTGGGGTGGGAAGAGCTACCTCAGTGGCCATCCCCCCCCGGAAGGCCGGACTCCGCTTCAGCCCACCCCAGGACCTCGACCCGGACCTGCAGCAGGCCCCAGGGAAGCCATCCGCTACCAGCATTCCCTCAGCCTCCGTTCCCCTCTGTTGAACATCCTATATCCCCTAAGTGCTCTCTGGGGCTAGTAAGGAGTGTCCTGGTGCTTCTCCTGACCCCCAGGAGATTGAGAACCATGGCTCCCGTGCCCCACCATGCTCAGGAAAGGGAAGCTCTTTGGTCAGTCCCAGCATCAGAGGCCTCCCCAAAGGTGAACATTCTCGCTGGTTCCCTGGATGGATTTGCCTCGGGCAAGGGCCTCACTATGGCTTGAGATGGTGCAGTCCCAGTCCCGGTGCAAGAGCCTGGCTTATACTGTCACTGCAGCCACCTCCTCTTCCTCACCCTCTTCCTCAGCCTCTGTCTTGATCTGAGCAACCCCAAGGCGGTAGAGGGTGTCACGGATGACCACCTCGCCAGGCTGGCAGCTCTGCACGATGTCATGGATCTGCCGGTTGACGATTTCGCGGCTGGTGAGGAAGTCCATGAGGCGGTTGTAGAGGTAATAGTGGGTGGCATTGTCAAAGGCAATGGGCCGCTGGCGGACACTGTTTGGTTTGCTGTCTGCAATGGAGGCCAGGATGGCTGCGTAGGGTGCTAACTCAGGGCACAGGGCTGAAGAGTGGTGCCCGGTACTGGGGTCACCAAGACTGGACTGTGTGTCTATATGGACGATGTGCCGTGCGGCAGTCTTGGTGGCCGGGTGCTGGACGGAGTGCTCAGCCTCCATCACGTCCACAGTATAATGCTGGTCCAAGAGCTCTGGGCAGGATACGCTCTAGAGGAGAGAGAAGAAACCACTCTGACATGAGGGAATGACTGAGGCAGAAGCTGTGTGGTGGGGGAGGATGAAGGCTGTGGGGTCAGTCAGCCCAGTAAACCCTCACGTCTCCACATATGCCTACATCTCCTGGGGCAAGTCCCCTCTCTTCTTCCTCGGTGCCTCTGTCTCCTCGTGAGGACGGGGTCAGCAACAGAGGCCACCTCCCAGAACAGATGTTGGATTACCTGAGCTGTTATCACTTACTACTGTGCCTAGTCAATTCAGGCTGGGGCTGCGGGGAGTGGGGAGAAGGGGGCCCTCGCTGAGGCTCACTCGCCTTTCGGCAGTGCCCAGCACAAGCTCGCAGAGCCAGTGAGTCCCAGGGAATAAGGACAAGATGAATGATGACAATGATGTCCCCCTTTTTCCTGTTGCCGGTCCTCACATGTCTTCCAGCAAAGGGCACATGTGTCTGGTAAGAATCACTGCCTGGTTCAAAGCACCAGAAAGCAGAGACAAGGGCTCTGCCTCTAATCTGCTTTTGTGACACTGCATAAGTCCACCTCCCTTCTCTGGACCTTACTCTACCCTTTTAGTAAGAAGAGTAGATTGGATACGACCGGTGTTTTCTAAGCCTCTGTACCTCTAGATCATAACAGGTATGCCATGCAGTATATTCATGGTCAAATCCAACACCTGGCTGGTCTGGGTCTTTAGTACACCAACACGCATGATGTCTCCAAAAAGCGGCAATTTTCTAGGCTTATCTGGAGGGCGACTCCTTTGACTCCAAAATATCTGTGTTTGGGACATCCTGGGCACTCCTCAGTGACATGCTGTGGCCTCACACGTACAGGGATTGGTCAGTAAAAATTTGTGGAGTACATGCTGGTTCAGAGCATCAAGACAAAATAGTAGCGGAGACAAAGGATGCTGGAGATGGTTCCCGTAAGGCCTTCCCAAAGAACCAGGAGGTGAGACATGGTGAGTCTGCGGGATTTATTCCAGTTCCTCAGAAGGGAACTCACCACAGGTGGCTCCGCAGGACTAGAGAAGCAGCCCTGGTTCCTCCCCCACATCTGGTTGGTCAGCTCTGGGTAGCAGAGGTCAGCACACAGGGCCACTGGTGTGGCCATGTCTACCACGTAGACAGGTGGCCAGTGGCGGGAAGAGACCAGCAGATCCACATGGTCGCGGGCACTTTCGCCCCGCACGAGATACTTGGAGCCACAGATCACCTGGGCAGGGAGATGGGAGGACACAGCACAGCCAATCAGCAGACAGACTGAGTTGAGTCTTCACTGCCTTCTTCCCAGGAATAATCAGGTTTTGTGACTAAAGCCATGGCCGTCCTGCCAGAGCCCGTCACATCCTGCTTCCTACTTCTGTCCCTAATTGAAGTTGTTAGTTCGTCCCCGACTTCCTAAGAGAATAGCTGGGACCATTTGGTCTTCAACTGAGGCTGAGAGGCCCCAAGGGCATCTGCTCCAAACCCCACCCTCCACACTAACAAGCACTGTCGAGTCCAGTGGCTCCGATTCCCAGACACACAGCACCGGCAGCTAACAGCTGGTTCAAGATGGAGGTTCCAGGGCCCCACTCCAAACCTAAGGAATTAACCTCTGGGGGGGGGGGGGGGGGGGCCTGAGCATCTGTATTTTGAGCAGCTCTCCAGCAGACCCGGATATGTTGCCCAATGTTAACCAGGAAACACCTCCACCAACAGGGCCCCCCGCCCCCAGATGCCACTTCATTGCTGAGGAACTCTGTGTACAGTGGGGAATCCTGCATCTGCCTCCACCTCCCTACCTTCACCCCTACCAGCCCTGGCTATCACCTCCTAGTAACCCTGCTCGCCTATCACAGCCCTGAGCTCTGCAGCTCTCACAGCCCTGTGTGGTCAAATGCTTCCCACGAGACAGTCCCCAGTCACATGAGCACAGTCCTCTGAGCAGGCTCTGTTCTGCCAGGGAGAGGCATCAAGTCTGTCCTTCAGACGCAGCTTTTGTCAAAGAAGCTGATAATCAGGTTCTCTTTGGCTAGCCAGTCGCCACGTCCGCTCACACACCTGAATTAACTGAAGGCTGTGCTGGCAATCTCTGCCCTGTTTAAATACTCGTTCAAGGGGTTTTCAACCCCAGCGTCTTCCTTGGCCTGCTTTGTCGTATGGCGCGCAACCTTCCCAGAGTCATCCCAGTGCCTACCCTGTTCAGGCTCTAATGACATAGGCGTGCTCTTCTTAAACCAAAATCTGAACTACGGCCTCCCCAGTTCCCACTCAGAACTGTCCAGTGGACGCTTCATCACTCTCAGAAGGAAACCCAGACTGCTACTTCCAACCTTCCAACCTTCCTCCGCTGGGCTCACTAGGCTTCCCCACTCAGGACTTAGTGGTCAACCCCTCCCTCTGCTGGAACATTACTTCCACAGCTTATCACTGGCTGCTCCAGACAGCAGGTCCCTCTCTGTTATCTTCTATCTCAGGTCTCAACTAGTTCCTTCAGAGCTAGCGCCATAAGCCATGGTGGCTTTCTTTCCCCTCTAGAACGAGATCATCTAGTGGAGGAATGACATCTTCAGCGCTCACCTCTGAACCCTCAACAGCTATGCAGGGCCAGCATGTGGAAAGGGGATTAATCCTCATTGGTGACGATGCAGGCTCCCTTCCTAGTGCAAATGCTGGCAACTGACCCCTAAGGAGCTACTCCGCAGGCTGCCCAGTGACCTAAGTGCCAGCTCCCACAGGATGAGCTGGATCAGATTCCCTGTGTGGACAATCTGGTGTGGACAAATTCACAGTATCTTTCTTATCCTCTTACCTGATGGGGGCACACCTTGTAGATTTTACCCCCCGTGAGATGAGGTGGGGGCTGTCTAACTCTGGTTCCATTCTGTACAGATTCATAGAGGGCCAACAAGGAGAAGCAGAGCTGTTCCTGGAGCAAGACAAGATTAAAAACAGAGCAGTAAATGCTAAGGGACCAGGCCTGGTGTGCAACACCAAATGCTCACTTCAATATCCAAAGCAAAAGAATAAACTGTCAAGGCCAGAGTGGGCCTTGGGGCCTCACTAGCCCAAAGTCCTCTGAGGGCCGTGAAAGGACCAGGTCACAGAGCCAGCCAGAATGACCAAAGTGCCAGACTCTTGAAGCCTGGGGTCTTCCTACTTTTTACAGGGCAGGGAATGCTTCAAAAAAAGCTAACATTTGAGTCTGAACTTGAAGAAAGCGTAACATTTTCAACAGATTAGTATAAAAAAAAGGAAGTAATATATGCGTAAAACACACACATTCGCATACACGTGTGCACGCACGCACACATGCATACACACACTGTCTCTCTTCATGCATGTAACAGCATCCACTTTCTAAGAGCCAGGAGAGGTGATAACCACATACTGCAAGGTGCCTCCCTTACAACAATTTCATGGGTTGGTAGTTTGCTTATTTCCACTTTGTAAACCAGGAAAATGAGGCTGAGAAACGTAGGGGAGCTTATCCAAGATCACGCCCAGTAAGTAGGAGAGCCAGGATTCCTGACCCCAGAGTCTGGGCCCACAGAGGAACTGACTGGAGGCAAAGGCCTCCCATTCCTGTTATGCTCTGGCTGCGGACCACATCCCAGGCCTCCCTGACTGCCCGCACCTTCTGTCCGGTGAAGGCACTTGTCACGGGTGCTCGTATCCTTGCCCAGAAAGGACAGCCAGCCTGCTCGCAAAGTCCCTATCTGCACTGCCACCCCCGACACTCACCTTGGAGTCTTCTGTCCCAAAGGGGATGCCACACTGCCTCAGCAAGTGCCGTAGCTCCTCCTCACTGTAGGAGCCAATCTCCTCAAGCTTGCAGGTGCCCTCGTGGAGTAGCCTCACCAAAGCACTGCCATGGCCTGCAAGAGACAGCCCTGTTGAAGGGGGGGTGGGGGGGCTGCTGCCAGCCAACAGAGGTCACGGGTAGCCCCTCATGTGTGAGGATGAGAAGCGGGGGGGGGGGGGGGGACGAGGCCTAAGTACAGCAGGCGGTGGAAGCAGGCTCTGCCCCGAGCACTGCCCCGGGTGCTGGAGGAGGTGGACTCAAAGAAGGTCTTCTAACTTCTGCAGATATTTGAAGTCTCTCAGAACCGGCTTTCTACCCTTGAACATCTAGGGAAGAGATCCAGTAGAGCGCCCTCAAAGAACCCCAAAATGGGTATTTAAGAACCAAGATCTCAGATGCTTACCACAAGGGCAGCAGCAGATGAGCAGTAGCGCTCATTTCAAGAACACTCTCTGTACATTGTGTTCCTGAACCTGCCTGGCCAACAGAGAACTATGTGGAGGTCTCAGAAAAGAAAACCAGTTTCTGGGTCTTGAAACAGTAAACATGAGGTGAGACCTCAGCAACTAATGTTAGGAAGCACTGTTTGAGAACCAGCCGATCACAACGTATTAAAATACTTTTAAGATCATCTGAGGTCACGTCCAGAATTTAAAAAATGAAATAAAATAGGAAACGTATTCCACTTGGTAAGGAAAAGTACCGTTTTGTGAAAGTTGGCTGGCAGCTCTCCAAAATTCTGCACCATGACTTTAATCTCTAGGGAATTTTGTCACAGATTGTCACTATCTTTCTCCAAAGAGCCCTCTAGGCGAGCCTGCCCATCGCACCGCCCCCGCCCCCCACTTATGCTGTCTGGCCATGAAAATGTCCCAGACTCTGGACTGGGCCCTCCCTTGACCTGAGTCAGGTGATCTCACCAGGTACTGGCTGCACATCCAGGTTTTTGTCTTTCTCAGTGTTGACGACCACGGCTCCTCTCATGAGCGGTGGAAAGAAGGGGGCAATAACAGACGCATCAAACTTGGTGATAGGGATGCTGGCAGGGAAGGCCACCTGCTCAATCACCTCTGTCTCCATTGTGGCCCAAAAGTCCTCCACGTTTACCTCACTAGGGCCCAAGAACTCGGGCCAGGTGAACTAAAAGATAAGGATAAAAACGATCAAACTGTAGGAGCCACAGAGTATTAGCAACAGAACAGCCCCCCTTCTTGATACACTCCGGACAACAAAGGTGGGGGGCAGGGGGGAGGGGCATCTGACGGCCATGCACGGCCAGGGCACCCCCAGATCTGACATCTTAGTACCCAACTGCCTTTTGGCTGCATTCCTCTCTCCCATACTACAGCACTCCCCAACACCCGAACAATCCTATGTCCTTTCTGCATCCATCTATAGTCCAGTCCTCTCCCTGACTCGCAAGGAAAGAGGGACTACCACTGACTACCCGCTATGTGCTGGACACTGATTACTGCTCTGTAAGTCTGGGAGTCTGTCTGAGGTGACACTAGTGCAGTAAGGGACAGAGTAAGAATGCGAACAAAGGTCCAGTTCCAAAGCCTAAGCCTTGTGTTCCTGCCACCCAGGGCGCTAGTGCACGCTGTGAGCAAAGAGCACAGATGTCCCACCACACTTTACAGCTACTGAGCCCACCCTCTCCACAAAACAAGGGGATGAGAAATGCCAGCTGACTGTGCTGCTGTGTGCGCAAACTGATGTGGTGACTGTCATCAGTCCAGACGGTCTTCCTCTATACAGTCCCTGAGGGGAGAGGCCACCAGACAGTCTCCTCAGGGACAAATGCAAATTTAAGTTCTGTTCAGAAACTTCTTGTTCCATTTCCCTGACATCAGAAGAGCCTCCACCTGCTTCCCTCACACATCCGTCACACCACCCTGCACACACAAAAGGGAGAGAATAAAGTAAGTCCTGGTCTCTAGAAAGAAATACCCAGTACCACAGAAGAGAAGAGATGCCTATACTGAGAGTGAAGGGAATTCTACGCCATTCTCTGAGAAAAAGCCTTGATCTGACAAAGCAGGTACCAGGCAGGTCTACGAGACTTAAGCTCTGCAGGGAGGTGGACATCTGTTTACTTCTGGAAACCAAATGGTCTCCGAAGCCAGATGTGTTTAAAAACAAAAAACAAGAACAACAACAACAACAACAAAAATTGGAGCTCAGGGTCCCAGGAGTGAGCACAGCAGTGCTTACAAACTCAGACTCTGGAGTCAGACGGCCAACTGAACCAAGGTCCGGTTCTACCCCTCCTGGCAGGGTGAGCTTGGACAAAACCCCTGGGCTTCAGTCCCTTCATCTATAAATATCTCACAGGCTTGGAGAAGTCCTATAATAAAGCACTGAGCAGAGCCAAAGAACTTGGCAAACGCAGTAACATGCTCAATAAACCCTAGCTGCATTACTATTAACACTACACTATAAAACCATGAGATGAACAGATCTGAAGAAGTTTGGCAATAGCCTCTTGATGACATAACACACAACAGCAAAATTTTTTTTATAGTTTACTTTATCTACAAACAACACTTACAAGACTCCTGGAAGCACTATGCTTACGTTCATGTCTTGTTATGTACCACCATCCTTCAAAGGAATACGTAATCAAAATATGTTTTTGTTGTTTTTTTTTTTTTTTTTAATTGGGAAGAAACAGAGGCATGTGCATTAAATCCCTAATAGGCTCAGCTGGCCATGCCAAAATGCACCCAAGCTTTTCTCTAGAGGGCCCGCACCCACCCCTGGTAGAGAACAGATGAGCTGAAGGTCCAGCGCCTCAAGAGACACTTCATGTTGCAAGTTCATGGATGGGGAGCTCACACCCCACCACTACGCTACTGCTAGCCTACTCACAGGCATGCAGACCAGACCTCTCAGCATGATCGTGGGAGAGAGTTCAGGAACCTATGGGATTTTTTGAAACACCACGTAACCAGGTTAAGAAAAATTCCTATTCTTCTGAGTTTACTAAGAGTTTTATCAGAAATTGGGGTTGGGGCGCCTGGGTGGCTCAGTTAAGCATCTGACTTTGGTTCAGGTCATGATCTCGCGGTGTGTGGGTTGGGGCCCCGCATCAGGCTCTGTGCTGACAGCTCAGAGCCTGGAGCCTGCTTCAGATTCTGTATCACCCTCTCTCTCTGCCCCTCCCCCACTCATGCTCTGTCTCTATCTCAAAAATAAATAAACATTAAAAAAATATAAAAATATAAAAAAAAAAAGAAACTGGTGTTAAATACTAACGAAAGCCTTTTTTTACATCTAATGAAATGATCATATGGGTTTCTACCTTTTACCTGTACGGCAGCAAATTACATT